GGGGGGGGGCTGTCTGTCCCAGGGAGGTGGAGGAGCTGGGGGGGGGGGGCTGTCTGTCCCAGGGAGGTGGAGGAGCTGGGGGGGGGGGCCAGGGTAAGGAACTGAGGGATGTCGCAGCAGAGCTGTCAAGCAGCCAGGGAAGGACGAGTGGGGTGTCCTGGGAAGAGACAAGGGGCAGCCGTGGGAAGGGGAACGGGAGGATGGGGGCTTCTCCAGGAAAGGATTCTGCAGCTGCCCCAGGGCAGGGGGCAGGGAAGACATGGAATGGGCCCAGAGGAGGAGTTGGGAGAAGGGGGAGACACACCCCCTGACTGGGGGGACTTGGGCAGAGCTGGGAGAGGGTCCAACCAATCGCATCAAGGAGAGGAGAAGGTCTCTGTCACCCATGACTCGAAACATCTTTGTCCCCTGCCACTAAGTCCTGCTTGCTTGGGTGGTAGCAGCTCCACCCAGCAGGCATAGGCGGGGCCCCCTCCTGTGGGCAAACTTGGCAGTTTCGTGGTTACCTGTGCGATGAGGCTGGTGGTGTCACTGCTAGCACTGGAGCAAATTCAAGGGAACGGACAGCGGCCAGGGGAGTTAACACCGTTCATGTTTGAACGTGTGGGATTGGCTTTGAACAGGGTGGGGGTCAAGAAACACACCCCTACCTTCCAGGAAAGCCCTGAGGCCTTCCCGGAGGGGGCATAGGGAGCGACCTTGAGGAGAGGGCATGCCCTCTGGCCACTGAAGCCAGCTGGCTCTGGCTTTGACGGGCTGGGCAGAGACACCTCCTTGGGGAGCTGTGGGCAGAGCCTACTTGGCCTTGATGCGGTCCTGCAGCCCCAAAAGGCGGAGAGAAACCCGCCCTGCACAGCACGTGCACTCACACACACTCTCCTACCCCCACCCCCTCACATATGCTCAGTTTGTTCCCACGATTGCACACACACTGTGCTCCTTGCTCCCTGGGGCCTGGAGCGCCTCTCAAGCCAAGTGCCCTGGTCCTGCTGCTCCCAGCGGAGCTGCCCGGGAAGCCGCCTGTGGACGGCAGCCCCCCTCCCATGTCATTCACAATGCCACCTGGGGGAGACACAGCCCCGCTCAGAAGCCTTCAGCCCATGGCTCTTGTTCAGACACCTTCCTTCTCTTACCTTCTTGAATGGCCTTCATGAGCCTGGGGGAGGAGGGAGGGACAAGACCCTCTTGTGTCCTGTCATCGCTGCATTTCAGGGCCCCAAAGGAGAAGAAGGAGTCTATAACCCAGGATCCCCAGGGTGCTGGAGGGGTGGCTGGGGCGAAACCCAGTCCCCTGCCCCGTGAGACCAGAGTTATACCCTTTGCTCATCCCCCAGACACAGAACCGTGGGCAGCGCATGAAAGAGGGGGCCCACATCAACCGCTCCCTGCTGGCCCTGGGCAACTGCATCAACGCACTGAGTGACAAGAGCAGCAACAAGTACATCAACTACCGCGACAGCAAGCTCACCCGGCTCCTGAAGGTACCCGCTGACCATGTGATGTTCAGCAGCCAGGCCCTACGAGCGTGTGCGTGTGTGTGTGTGTGTGTGTGTGTGTGTGTGAGAGAGAGAGAGAGAGAGAGAGAGAGAGAGAGAGAGAACACACTCACACTGGGGAAGGCAGTGTGAACAGCTTGCAGGAGGAGGGTCGGGGGGAGGCAACCTCCAGCTGACCACAGCCCCCACCTTCCTCCAT